TCTCTTCCAGCTGGTTGGCTAGGTAGCTGTTTTCCAAATTTCAAGTAAGTGCCTCCAGTGCTGCATCTGTTTGTTGAAATATCTCAATGGGTACTCTGTCAATTCCTGGAGCTGTTTTTTTTTTTTTTTTTGCCAATTCCTTCCATGCAGCTTGGACTTCTTCCTTCAGTATCATTGGTTCTTGATCATATGCTATCTTCTGAAATGACTGAACATCAACCAATTCTTTTTGTTACAGTGAACATATTCCTTCCACCATCTTTTGATGTTTCCTGCTTCATTCCCTATTTTGTCCTTAGAATCCTTCAGTATTGCAACTGAAGACATGAATTTTTTCTTCAGTTTTTTCAGCTTGAGAAATGCTGTGTGCATTCTTCCCTTTTGGTTTTCTAATTCCAAGTCTTTGCACATTTCTTTATTATACATTATTTTGCCTTTTCTAGCCACTTTTTGAAATCTTCAGCTCTTTTACTTCATCATATCTTCCACTTGCTTTGGCTACTCTCCAAGAGCAAGTTTCAGAGTCTCTTTTGATATCACTTTTGGACTTTTCTTTCTTTCCTTTTTAAATACCTTTAGCTTTCTTCATGTATGATGTCCTTGATAGCATCTCACAACTCTTCTGGTCTTTGGTCATTGGTGTTCAGCTTGTCAAACCTTCAGATGGTCCCTAAATTCCGATGGGATATGGATATACTCAGGGTCGTATTTTGGCTCTGTGGACTTATTTTTCTTCAGCTTTAACTTGAATTTGCATAGCAGCAATTGATGGTCTGTTCCACAGTCAGCTCCTGATCTTCTTTTGATGATGATATTGAGCTTCTCCATTGCTTTTTTCCATAGAAATAGTCTATTTGAATCCTATGTATTCCATCTGGCAATATCCATGTGTATAGTCACTGGTATGTTGTTGAAAAAAGGTATTTGCAATGAATAAGTTGTTGGTCTTGCAAAATTCTATCATGTGGTCTCTGGCATCATTTCTTTCAGCTCTGGTGGAGTAGTGCCTAAGGCATCTGACTTAGGCTAACCAGAAGGCTGGCAGTTCAAACCCACCAGCCACTCCTTAGAAGGAAGATTGGGCAGTCTACTTCTGTAGTGATACTGCCTCGGAAACCCAGGGAGGGAGTATATTGAGTCGGATCTGACTCGATGGCAGTGAGTTTGGTTTGGTTTTTTGGATGCTTCTTATTTGTTTCCAACTTTCAAATTCCAATCACCAGTTTTTATTAATATGTGTTGATTGCATGTTTGGACAATGTGAGACTGCAGAAGTTGGTAAAAGTCTTCAATTTCTTTATCTTTGGCTTTAGTGTCTGGTATGTAAATTTGAATAGTAGTAGTATTAACTGGTCTTTCTTGTAGGTGTAATATCTATACATTGATGGCATTGTACTTCAGGATAGATCTTGAAATGTTCTTTTTAACTACAAATGTGATGCTGTTCCTTTTCAATTTGTCATTCCAGCATAGCAAACCATATGGTAATCTGATTCAAAATGACCAATATTAGTCCATTTCAGCTCAGTAATGGCTAGGATATCAATCTTTATGCATTCCATTTCATTTCTGATGTCTTCCAATTTTCCTAGATTCATACTACATACATTCCACATTCTGATTGTTAATGGATGCTGTGCCCCATCAGCAAATAAAGTTTTCCCGAAAGCTTTACTCTGTCAACATCATGAAGTTCACCTCTACTCTGAGGAGGCAGCTTTTCTTCAGTTGTAATTTCAGTGCCTTTCAACCCAAGGGGCTCATCTTCTGGCACCGTAACAGACATGATTTCACTGCTATTCATAAGGTTTTCAGTGACCAATTTTTTTCAGAAGTGGATGGCCTCATCCTTCTTCCTAGTCTGTCTTAGTCTGGAAGCTCCGGTGAAATCTGTCCACCATGGGTGAACCTGCTGGTATTTGAAATACCAGTGGAAAAAAAGTTATGCATATATAAATTTTTTTTTGTTAATGTAGATTTCTCCCTGCATTTATTAAAGAAGAATATGGTAAACCAATCACATGAAGTGAATATGAAAGTGTAAACCAAAAAACAACCATACTCACTGCTGTCGAGTTGAATCCAACTAACTGTGACCCCTCCTTGGGTTTCTAAGGCAATATCTCTATGGAATTACATTGCCCAGTCTTCCTTCTGAGGAGTGGCTGGTGGGTTTGAACCGCCAGCCTTTTGGTTACAGCGCCTTAGGCATTATGCCACCAGAGATTTTTTTTTTTTTTTTCTGATCAAGAGTAAAATCTGGACAATTGTTCATTTTTTAACCATTACCAAAAACTCACCAAACCAAATTCATTGTCATCAAGTGGAATCCAACCACTTTATAAATAATTCAAATGTATGTGTGCTAATATAGTTTGAGTAAGTAGAAACAGTTTTAGAATTTCAGAGGTAGAAAGACCAGATTATCTAGGCACCAAATGGGAAACAGATGCCAGATGTTACTGGTTTTTGGTCACTGCCTTGAGCACTATGTTCAGAGAGATTCTGTAGTAGCATCTGCCGGAGGAGGGCCCTGAGTGATTGGCCGTATCATTTGGGGGAGAGGACAGAGTGGGAACACGGGGGCCTCAGTGTTGTTGTTTTGGATCGGTTTACTCTTCTTTGTGCCCATTTTTATTTTTGTAAACAAATTAACTCAATACTAAGGCCCAGAGAAGGAACTCTGGTGGTGAAGTGGTTAAAGCATCCAGCTGCTAAGCAAAAAAAAAAAAAAAAAAGGTTGGCAATTAGAATCCACCAGCTGCTCCATAGGAGAAAGATGTGTCAGTCTGCTTCTGTAAATATTTACAGCCTGCTCTACTCTGTTGCGTAAGGGTCACTATGAGTCAGAATCAACTTGATGGCAATGGGTTTGGTTTTGGAATACCCAGAGAGGTGAAGTAATTTATTACAGGCTACACAATTAGGTTCTGGCAACGCCAGGGCTAGACTCCTGGGCATTTGAATGTTAGTCCTGTGGAAGTGAGATTATTACCAGGTATTCTCTGGGTGGCACAAACAGTTAAGTGCTGGACTACTACTGAAAAATTTGATGGTTCAAATCCATCCAGAGGCCCTTTAGAAGACAAGCCTGGAAATCTGCTTCCAAAAGGTAACAGTCTTAAAAAGCCTCTGGAGCAATTCTACTCTGCACATAGGGGTTGCTGTGAGTCAGAATTGACTTAATGGCAAATAACAACAACAGCTCATACTACTACATAGCTAGGGTTCTTTTGATGTAACCTCTTTTCTCTCCAATGTTGGAAAACAAATTTTGAAGGGTAATAACTCAGCATCATCAGGCATTTATTATGTAGGCTGTATTAGGTATTGTAATTAGAAATTGAAAGAAAAGTTAATGAGATTTTTTGGAAAGGAGTTAGGGCTAGTTAGGGCTAGAAAGCATATGTCATATTGTGAGTATATCAATGAGTCAAGTCCTTTAGCATAGTTCTATAGTAAATATATCTATGTTGTTGTTAGGTGCCATCGACTCAGTTCCAACTCATACCAACACTATGTACAACAGGATGAAACACTGCCCAGTTCCACGCCATGCTCATAATCATTGCTATGCTTAAGCCCATCATTGCAGCCATGGTGTCAATCCATCTCATTGAAGGTCTTCCCCATTTTTGCTGACTCTCTACTTTACCACACATGATATCCTTCCAGGGACTGGTCCCTTCTGACAGCACAACCAAAATACATGAGATGAAGTCTGGCCATTCTTACTTCTCAACAGCATTCTGGTTGTATTTCTTCCAAGATGGAGTTATTCATTCTTCTGGCAGTCCATGGTATTTTCAGTATTCTTGATCAACACCACAATTCAAATGTACCAATTCTTCTTCAGCTTTCCCTTATTCACTGTTCAGCTTGCACATGCATATGAGACTACTGAAGATACTATGGCTTGTATAACTTAGCTTAAATATAGCTTTTTGTTCTTGAAATCATCTTGACTTCTCTCCATCTGGAAATTCTGTAACTACAGTATTCATCCCTTCTCTTTCCCAAGCTGATTTCAGGATTCTTTCTTTGTCTTCTATTATGATATATCTTGGTCTACCAAGTCAGGACACTTAATGTATAGGACAATCACAGTCGTGCAGAAAGATGAGAAGGACCAAAAGAGGGTGTTATTGAAAAAGGAAGACACTCTAGGAACTTGCAAGTTCTCCAAGTGCTTCATAGCACACCAGGAGCTGGGTCACTCGGTGCTCCAGGGTCCTGGTCACCCTATTAACCAGTCCCCACATGATTTCAATTCTGGTGCCTAGAATATTTCTGAGGAGCAAATTAATTTTTTTTTTTTTTTTTAAAAAGTGAGTAGGAAAGTGCTATTTGGTGGCTGGAAATGTTCTTTATTCAGCAGGCAGAGGGAAAAATAGCTTATACTTTCAATGACAGGAAATTAGTATAAATAAAATAATTGCCTTTCTCCACCCTTCCCTCAGGAGTATTAATGAATCATAAGGATCCATTCTTCAGTTTTGTAAAGTCAATCGTAAGTAGCAACAAACATAGCAGAGGTTTTCTCATTTGTGTGCATATAGAAAGTTGGTCAAAAGTGCAGATTCCTAGGCTCTGTTACCAAATATTCAGAAGTCCTAAGAAGATGTGGAGATTTTGCAATTTGCTTTTGGAACAAGGACTCCAGGTGATTCTCATATGGGTAATCAAGGGAATCCCACTATGATAAATACTGCCCTATTCTTTTCAACTTTAGGTCAAGTCATCGTAAACGGTGCTTTGATAGGACTCTGACTGTTAATTAGGAAAAGCAAGTAGGTTCAGCTAGAGATAAATGACCAAGGATGGTGGGGAAATTTAGCTTCTACACATTTGTTGCTCCGATATTTGGGGGATCCTCAAAATGGAAACTGAAATATTCACCCAGGGAAGCCTTAGGACCTGTTCATGCCCCATGCACCACTCAACATTGATACCAGTCCCTTTATGGCCATCTCAGGTCTTGATGTTTTTCAGATTCTTACCTCTTTTGGTGATAGTATAGAAATGTAATCATCATATATTATTCTGGCTTTTTCTTCAATGACTTTTTTGTTCTGCTCTTTCTTTAAGTCTTCGCAAGCCAGCCAGAAGAGTAGGTTCTCTTCACTGTATTCTGTTCGGAGGAACTCTCTGAAAAGGTTTCTTCCTGCTGGAGCCTTCATCATCTTGTCAAAATTTTGAGACCAGGACAAGACTTCATCTGCAGTGGGGTTTTGGCTGCAGAGACAGAATGAGGTCATTATTAAAGACAGTTAAATGCTGGATCAGGTGCTAGAATGAATGCTATGCAATGCTTCCCTCTTGTGGTCAATATTGTGCCATACAGCCTGGCCTTAATTGTAAGTGGGAGAGTGTCCATGTGGACTGATTTAAATGGTTCCCAAAAGCCTCCTGCCCTCTTTCCCATCAGAAGTTCCTACTTCACTCCTCTTTCCCCTCACCTGCCACTGCTACCATTATAATTGCTAACTTTTAAGTTATGGGCTAACCCCTGCCAAAATTACAAATACCTGTGGGATCTGTAACATGTTAACCTTTTATCCATGATTTGCATCTTAGTGTTAACTTATTAGTTTCTTTCAAGTAATAACCAGATGGCCATCCTCAAGTAAAGTTTCTGTATGGTAATATAAACTAAACAAAGCCCATCTGGTAGTGTTCAATTGAAAACAAGCTGTGTGGCATTGGGCAAGTTGCATAACCCCTCTGAGTCTAAATAATTTTTAGTCAATAAAACAGTTTCAGCTATTAAAAAACTATGATTTTACACTGGTAGGGCTGCTAAAATCAGGACATTACAAAATCAGGTATCAAATATCATCTGTTCCATAGGACACTCAGTATTTACCAATATTCTTGAGGTTGACTTTCAATATATTTTTAAATGATATTGGTACTTAACTTTTCAATATGAAAAAAATGAAAGTAAATTATAAATTCTTAAGAAGCAACTCAAGAATGATTCTTTGAGTACAGTATACCTTTTTATGCTGTTTTGGTTTTGGGAACCATGTTCCCGTAGAGCCTGTGAATGCTGTAAGGCAGTAACCTGCCAGAGAAGGAAGACTCTAAAGATTTTCCACTAAAATGAACAATGAAAACGTTTTCCACCCTGTCATCGGTTGAAAACTTGTGAGGCACAGAAAAACAAAGCAGTCCTGTCGAACTCTGGCTCTCACAGGCTTCACTGTTTATCTCTCAATTAAAATTATAATGTAAGTCAAAAAGGATAGAGAAAAAAGCCAAAATGAATACATCCTAATAAAAAAGCCTATCGAAATAAGTAACACAAACACAACTCCTGATCTATTTTCCCTCAAGGTAATAAGGAAAAAAAGAACTATAAACAAGTGTTGAACTCTAGATAATAGGTTTGTTTAGAATAAAGATATGGGTTAACAATTTTGAAACCACTTAATCTTTATTCTAGCCTTTATTGTTGTTGTTGTTATGTGCCCTTGAGTCGACCCAACTCATAGTGACCCCTCCTTGGGTTTCCGAGGGGATATCACTACGGAAGTAGATTGCCCAACCTTCCTTCCAAGGAGTGGCTGGTGGATTTGAACCACCAGCCTTCTGGTTAGCAGTCACAAGTGCCTTAGGCACTACAGTACCAGAGCAATAAGTAAATATATAGTGGATATGAGAGCCAGGCTTTTCACTGTTGGAAAAGAAAGCTACTAACATGGAAAGGGGGAGGTCATCAGCCACTCCTTGGAGGGGAAGGTTGGGCAATCTAATTCTGTAGTGATACCACCTTGGAAACCCAAGGGGGGGTTGCTATGAGTAGGATCCAACTCCACGGCAATGGGTTAACATGGAAAGGGAGGAGTGATTACAATGAACCCCATGGTTTGGATTGGAGTTGCAGGCATCAGTATGAATTCAAGGTTTTTAGTATTGATAGCTATAGAAAGAGATGTGTGTGTGTGTATTTCCTCCCTCTGTACATTAAGAGGACCTAGAAGCAATGAGCCCATAGTTGCAGTGAGGATACGAGCACTCAGATCTTGGTTTCTACATATTATTCTCCACTAAAAGAAATCATCGACCTTTGAAGAAATGGATGATTGCAGGGCTGGGCCTTGGAAAGTACAAGATGATTCGAGAATAGCTTGTTGTGCCAGAAAGCAAGAACATGGTCAAGGAATGATGGAGCGAAAATAGCTCGCACTGGCCAAATCTGGGATAATTTGAGAATGAAAATAGCAATGGTAATAGATTATAACCCTCAGAAGAAAAAGAACCCATGAGTCCATACTGATAAGAATTTTAAAAAATAAATAATTAAATGGAGGATAAAGGGAAGTGCTTTGTTAGACTAGAATGTTAATAAATGTAGAAGGTATGATGGAATTAGAAAAATCACCACTAGCAATCATCTTTGCAATAACTGTTTCAGGCAAGATTGATAAATGGGCTAAAACTAGAGGGTGGAAGCTTTGGGAAAAAGAAGCCATTTGCATAGTTTCAGCTTCTCTCTGTACATCATACTTAGACATTGTTGTTGTTGTTGTTATTTGCCGTCGCGTCAGCCCCGACTCATAGCGACCCCTCCTTGGGTTTCCGAGGCAGTATCACTACGGAAGTAGGATTGCCCAACCTTCCTTCCGACATTACAAAGGAGAAATTCAAAATTGTACAGTGGAGAAACCAAGTAATAATCTAAGTTAACAGGACATGCCTCCTTATATGATGCACTGCAATCACAAAGTAAGATCTGCCAGATGGAGTTTGCATTCATTCCACAAGATTTGACCCATTTTGAGGAGTATTAGGAAGCAATGGATAATACTTAAGCACTCAGTGGATGTAAATATCATGCAAATAGCTTATGAGCAGCATAGAAATACCATAAACATCAAGTATAGTGTCATGTGGATCTCACACTTACCATTCCTCTATGACCTGGATACTTTCCATTTTTGTGGTATGTGTCGGTCTTCCTGCATTTTCTCCTCTTTCTTCGTTCCTAACAGTGAGGCTGTAATGCAGTTTAACATTTTATTTTGTTGAAAGAAAATTGATTTTTTCCAAAGAAAATAAATTTTTCAGGAGAAATATTTCGAAGAATTTTATTTTCAAATAGGTGAAAATATTTGAAGTACAAAAAGAACAATACCATTTTTAAATGATGGGTAGGTCCATGTCAACTAATGGAAAGAATAATTATTTCATAATTCAGTATCTCAAAAAATGTACATCATTATCCACTCTGACTCCATCCTTACCTAATTTTAATTAGTAAAAATTCCTGAGATACTTACAAGAGTATGTGCTTTAATATTTGATACACATCATTATGTTACTCTTTAAATGGAACCTCATTTTGACTTTTGATTAGTACTATTCATAGCTTATTTTCCATTTATTTTCACCCATGGATAGCTAAGATAAACTATATCACAGTCAAATGCAGATTTACTAAGTTGACATTATCCTTCCTTGCAAACCAGGTTTTCTGTCCCAGTTACGATTATTCCTCCATCCAGTCACATCCAAACTACTGGATTTATGTTTGCCATTGTTTTTGCTCTTTTTCAAGCTTTCAGTCAATCTCTGAGGTTTCCATCTTCTTATTTGACAAGCTCTTGAAAAGAGAGGCCAGGAACTCTGAGAGTCTGGAGACTAGAATCCTGGATGTGAGGAGCCTGGGGGGAACTCTTTGGAACATGGGTTTGGAAATTCTATAGGATTAGGGGATCTGGGGTCAAAACCCATGGGCTTTAGTAACCTAGAGTAAGAATAAGAATGGCCTGATTCAGGGGAACTGTAGCTGACCAGTGCCTGCACGTGGAGCAACCGAGGCTCTAGGTGTAGGCTAGAAATACTGGGAGCGCTTCTGAGGAGATACTGCGCAGCGGGGGGTGGGGCAAGCATGACTCAGTGGGTCTGGAAAACGTAATTTCTGAGTTAGCAAATGATACCTCTGTCCGGAAGCCGAGGAGCTTCAGGAAAGCCTGTCACAGAGCAAAGAGAAGTTCAGATACCTTCTCTTTCATTTGTTCTTTGTCTATGCACCCACCAATTCATTCCATATGAGGCAATGGAAGCAATCAATTTCCAGTGCTTGCTGTGGGCCAGGCACTTTACTTTCAATTTTATTATCCCCATTTATAGAAAAGCAAAGTGAGGCACAGGGCTGCCTAGTAGGTTGGCCCAAAGTTTAACACCAAATATATGGTATGGTTGAAGTTTGAATTCAATTCTGTCAGAACCACCCTATTCTTTTTATTGAGTGCCTACTATGAACCAAGCCCTTTGATAGGCACCGAGGCAATAAACTTGGTAAGTGAATGCAGAAAAGGGTCACTGCACATGGTTGTGTTAGAGGAGTTTAGGGGAGAAGGCTTCCAATGAGTAGCTATTTGTAATCCGGAAAGTCTGGTAAGAGAAGACTAGACTAAGTCTCATTCATTCTTTATTACATTCTCGGGTGGAGGGGTGAGGATGAAGAGAATGCAGGAAAGATTTTAAGGAAGAGGTGGCTGATGAACAGGCCAATATGCAACTGAAGTGAGAGTAGGTAGGGAAATGTGCTTGAGAAAGTGAGCTGACTAGAAAAAAAGAGAACCCAACAGGAATTGGACAGGATTCCTTCATCAGAAAAAGGACACACCGAAGAAAACCCTAATGTAATAATGAAATAAAGTGAGCTTCCCTCTAACCATGTCTAGGGACAGTGACAGGTTTCTTGGGGTAGAACCAGGGGGAGAAAAGGGTAAGCTGCTCACAAAAGTGGTATAACCCAAAGAATTCTGGGAAGTAGAAACTATAGCTGCTTTTGTTAATCAAAGAATCAGCAAAACAGCTAGTGCTTCGCTCATGCCCTGCAGGGGAGGGAGGCAGCCATGGCAAAGTGAGACTAGGTGTGCCTTCAGTGTAGGGATGGGGGAGAAGGGAGCAGGAGTCATGGAGCAGCACAGCTTTCTAGGTCTCTGTATGTGGGTTCTGTGAACGTGTCTGCAGCTTCAGGTGGCCTAGGAAGCCTGGTGGTGCAGTGGTTAGGCACTAGGCTGCTAAGCCAAAGATAGGTAGCTTGAACCCACCAGCAGTTCCATGGTGAAAGAGACCTAGTGTTCTGCTTCCGTAAACATTACAGCCCAGCTTAGGAAGCCCTCTGTCCTCCAGGGCAGCTCTGAGTCTGAATTCACTGAACAGCACCCACCACCAGGAAACCGCAGTCCTCTATGTTGCTATACGCTGAGGTCAACATGTGTTTTAGAGTTAATTGGTTTATTTCTCAAAGTATCTGTGTACAAGTATTTCTCTGGAATTTGATGTATTTCTAGTAATTATGGGCAAGTGCAGAAACCACTACATAATATTCTGTAAGATTTCCTGGGAAAAATTAATGATGCCAAATGTACAAAATGTGCAGTTTTTTTTTCGAAAATTCTTGAAAGATTTTATTTAATTAAGAAGTTAATATTTATTCTGCCAAGTTTGGATGTGATACACAAACACACACACAAAGATCAAGGCAAGTAGAAAAAGACTTGGAAAAAGCTCTCTTTCCCTGATTAAATTATAAACTTCTTGAGAAGTCTTCTGTTATATTTCCACATGGTGTCCCACAGAGTACCCCACACAAAATACATCATTTTATGCAATATCTTTGAAAAAGTCATTCTCCATTGTGCCTTTGCTGTGGAAGGAACAAATCTGGAATCCACATGTGTGATTCACAAGTTTCTGAACATGGATCCTGGCTCTTCTATGAGTTTCTGTAATATTTACCAACATCCCAAATGCCACCATATTAGAGTGATCATTATGAATTACTGGGCTGTGGCTAAAGCTTTCGTTTCTACAGATGGTGAGATACGGACACTCATTTGTACTAAAACTGCTTACACCAGACATGTAATAAATGCTGAACTGTTCACCACTTGTTCCATTTCTTGATCTAATATTGGGCACAAGTCTGTTCTGTAGAAAGAAACAGAACTTTAGCAATTGGCAAGGGTCCTTTCCATCAACTGTCCTGTTCTTAAAAAAAATTGTTCTGGTCTTAAAAAAAAAAAAAAAAAAAACTCGTTTCAAGATTTCTAGTATGGTTTCAATTATCAAGAACCACTGAGAGTGTGGTTTTTAAGATGAAGAGAAATGAAGGGAAAAGAAAGGAGGGCTGACACTAGATTGTCATGTGTCTTTGGAATGACTGAAGTCTGTTGCCAGTTACACTTGGTCTTGCAATAAGCAGTATAGTCAGTGTTTTATTTTTTTTTTGACTTTTTTAAGGTAATAAGTTACTGAAAATAGTTTCTCTAGCTCAACATTTACACGCTGCATGTGGCTGCGAAAAGCTCTAAAAGAAACCACCAAACCTGCCAGTTGGGAGAGCTCTTGGAGAGGTGGGCTTTGTACTTTTACTCTGTTACCTTTCGCAACTAGTGTTTCTAACTTTTCAACAACTGAAGCCGGAAAGAGAGCAGAATCTCCACACAATGCAGGCATTTTCATCAAAGCTTAAATATTTTATGGAAGAAATGTCAATAACCTAGTATAAGAAACATTGAAAAATCCCAGCAATTTTCTATCATGGTGACGTTGGGAAGAGAAATACATAGGTACATTTTAGAGAATAAGGAAATACGCCCTCTTCGTGTTGGGGTGGATTTTCTACACGGTTTCAGTGGGTTTGGGTCATGGGGTGGGGAGAACATTGTTTGCTGCCAACTATAGCATTTACCAAGGAGCTCTGGTGGCACAGTGGTTAAGCACTTGGCTGCTAACAGAAAGGTCAGCAGTTCAAACCTATCGGCTTCTCTGTAGGAGAAAGATGTGGCAGTCTGCTCCTGTAAAGAATATAGCCTCGGAAAATCTATGAGGCAGTTCTGCTCTGCTCTATTAGCGTTACTATGAGTCAGAAAGGACTCGACTCAATGGCAGTGGGTTTGTTTGGTTTTGGAGTTTACCTAGTGATTTGTCATGGGTATGTGAGAGTCCTATTTTGAAAAACAGTCTGCTTTTGTAAGGGAAACAACTGGTTCTGAGGGAGAACCCCTGAAACCACTGCAAAGAAGATGGCAACTTTCCAGTTGCCATAGTAACTCTCGGACAGAAGCGGATCAGAAAACCACATATATTTACAAAAAATCAGGAGTCAATAAGATGCTTCCATTTAATACAGAATGACATCTAGGCTCCAAGAAAGAACCACTGTCATTGGTAAAAGCAGATACCATGCAATATTTTAATATTCTCACATGTGATATCAATCTTTTCTTTTTGTTCAACAGCTTCTACCTCAAATTTCCCAGTGCAAAAATGAAACCAACATCCTTCAGGTTCTGAAAGAGAATTTATACGTTATTCTAGAAATGTTTCAATGTCATCATTGAAATATCATAGTAAAATGCTACAGCTTTATTCAGGAGTCAACAACAACTTACAAGTATGTACTGAACACCTGGTTTAGGCAACGTTGCCTGGGTTGGAAATGCAAGAAGAGTAAGACAAAGGCTGTGTTGTTGACAGACTGAGACAGGTAAATCAACATCACATGGCACTGTGATAAAAACTAACATAGAGTTGTACACGGGGTGTTTCTCAGATGCAGGGACAATGTCTATACTTTTGCATGAGAGAATTGAGAAAAGCTTAGCAGAGGAGGTAATGATTAAACTAGGTAGAAAACTGAGCAGATGTTTGCCAGATGGAGGCCTGGGCAAAGGGAATTCAAAGCAGAGGGGGGAAAAATATGTTGAAGCTAGAAGTTGTAAAAAGGCGTGATATAAAAAATGGCCCAGAATGGACATATGAGCTGTGTCAGGCGGAAGCAGGAGACTGGAATAGGCAGTGCAGTGTGTGTTCTACAATGGGCCAGGAAAACCGTAAGAGGGGGCACTCCAAATCCATAGCCTACCTCCTTGAAGATGATTTTGGCAATTGATTTGGCCTTGCCATACACTATTTTGCCATGCAACATGGGGGGCCAATGGCAGTTACCTATTCCACAGGAATATAAAGCAAAGAATA